CAGATTTCTTAGTTTTAACCGACTGAACTGCGTTTCATTTACATTTCAAAGAGCTCTATACCTGCGAGCTTTATGCTCCATAAATTGCGGTGAATGGCTCCATTGTTTAGTCTCGATACGCTGGAATGCTCCTGCACATCCTGCATAATCCTCTCAATTATGAATGCTATCATTTATTCTATAGTCTCAGCACCTCAGCGGAGGGCGTCCGGTAACCAAGCAACTAGTGCCTCTCATTCATCATTAAAGTGGGGAAACATGAGGAGACCCGGTGGCCTGCCTCCAGGAGAGTGACCGGGATTTGTTCCTGACACATAAACTACATTTTCCTTCAATCCAACAAAGACTGATGACTTGTTAACCTGATGCAGTTCTGACATTGAGATTTTACTCAAAACAATGTTTTTCTGTTCTAAATTCTGCCTTTTAGTTATTTTTTATGTGGAATTTCCACCATCCTCATCAGCATTGAACAAATGTCACCAACAGATAACATCTGAAACATCGTGTTTAAAAAACGTGAATCAGATTGTATCCATTGACACTGTTAGGTCACTTGTTTCCAGGGGGACTTTATTGTGAGCATGCAGAAGTAAACTGACACCTCACCCTGTCATCCTTGCAAAGGCTGTGTTGTTTTGCTCCTGAGGGGAAAGGGCTCTATATCTAGTTCTACACTGTTAACATATATATATATATATATACGATGATAATTGCCAACTCAGAATATTACATTTTTTGCACAGTCATAAAGACTCAGGTAAACAAAACAAAAGAAAGAAGGGCTGACCCCTCTCCTCGCAGTGTCTCGCATATTTTGTGCTGGTGGTGACAGACAGAGTTCAGTTTCAATCCCTTCAGCAGATAAGCGCTGCTGTTTCCACAAGATGTGACAATGAGGGTCTGTGCCTCATTCAGAAGCAACTATTCCACACGGTTTAAGGTTTCATGATGAGTGCCATTAAGTGAAGTGACTTGGCTCAGAAGTCCCTCTGCTTTACAGGCATGCATTGATCCTTTAATGATCATATGAGGTCAGAAATAGCTTTAAATACTGATGTAATATCCCATTTATTTGAACAAGTGAAGCATGACTTGCTACTTCAAGGCAAAGCTGAAATGAGAAACGTACGTTAGATACGCTTAAACAAACTGTTGGTCAAAATCTAACATGTTCTGTTGAAGCGATAAGGGGTCCGAACACAACACTGACCTCAGGTCAACAGAACAGTGGTTACCTGATAGCCCTTCACAGTCTGGTTTGAAACTGAATATATTGTTGGAGGGATAAAGTTGCAACGGAAGGGAACATGTGTCCCAGTTTTAAAACATCAACAGAGATGTGTACTAGACCCCAGGGTCTACGTGTCAGATAGATCTGGATTTAAGACTGAAGAGTGTATTTGCAAAACTTCACAGGATAATTTTGATAGAAAACTCTTTTGTTGTTCTTTAAAAAAGTATTTAATATATAATATATTTTCTTTTGCACTTTCTCTTTGTCTCAAAAGGAACACACACACAAAAGTAGTGAAAAGTGAAACCTTGATTGACAAGAGGATTGTTGGAATCTACTGTTCACAATGTTAATGCGGTCTCATTCAGAGAGGAGAGCCCGCCTTGGGCTCACAGCCCTGCTGACACACAGCACTCCAGAGCAGAGGGATGTGAGCTCCCCTCCTCCCCTAACCTTTACCCCAAGGGAGTCCATCTTCACACCGATACCTCCCTGGGTGACTCAAGCTCTTGCCAACCTGGAGCAAGGTGAACAAGAACTTCAGAGCCTCAGGGAGCGACAGCAGGTCGAAGTGGAGGAGGTGAACCGTGAGTTGGACAACGCTGCGATTGAAGCTCACAGAGAGGAGCGTCGCCTTCTTCAGAAAATTGAGCAAGACCACAGAGAGGCCCAGAGACACATCAGCCAGGTGAAAAGGGAGAACGCTGCAGCTGTGAGAGTGGTGCAGTCACTTGTTGACCAGCAACTTAGAAAAGTTGGACAACTGAAGGAACAGATACAAAGATGGGGCAGTACTGCAGGTGCATCCAACACAAATCAGCTCCAAAGAGGAGCGGCAGAGCTCACCCGACCTTGGGAGATCTCTCTAACAATGAAAAGGGTCAGCTTCTTACCAAGCACAGGGTCCAAGGCCTTAAGCTTAGGGGGAGTTGAAGTTCAAGAGCAAGGTATGATCTACCCAATTGGTGTCTGTGGTGACCAAGGACAAAAGTGTGCCTTGCACTCAGGGGTTGCAGCATTTTCAATTATCCCAGTCGAAATTCGAAAAGAACCCCAACCTAACAGAGCTGGGCAAAGGAAGAGTCCAGAGGAGAGCAACAAGGCCAACATGCGTGTTGTCCGGAAACTACGTCTATCAAGCTCTACAGAGAATGAGGAGGATCTCAAATCACCCACCTCGAAGTCCCCAATACCAAGACATCGTGGTGCATCTGAGTCATCCCAAGACGAGGACGTAGAGTCCTTGTGTTCAGACACACAGGGGCAAGAGCTTTTCCTTGCTGTCCCACCGGTCTCCAGTCAAGGAGAATCTGAAGGTGATGAATCTGACAGCAGACACAATGGAACAAAGAGGCGCTCCATACTGAAGGGTAGGAGGAGGCAAAAAGCCCTTGTCTTGGTTTCATGTGAAGAACCGCCCTGCCCTACAGACGCAAAAAGCAGTTATGCAGCAACATCTCCAAAGACTATTCGCAAAGCCTCCCCCTCAAGGTACAGTCTTGTAGATCATCCACTTTCACAATGCAACCCAACCAAGAAAAAGACCTCAAATCAATCTTCAATGGACAGTGCAAGTCCTCCATCCCCAGTGGACAGTGAGGATTCGTCTTACATCTATACTGTGAATATTCCATCCAATGAATCCCTCAATCGAGAGCACTATCGCTCAATGTCCACCACTGACCTCTCAGGTAAACTGAGCACTTTGATAAAAGGTGACAAAGGTGAGCGTAGAGGAATTAGGAAGGTCAACAGAATGCGTCTAGCCTATGAACCTGCCACTCTTGAAGAAGGCCAAGTTAATGACACTGAATCTGACAGGAACAACATTATTTGTGGAGAACAACGATCAAGATCGCAGACCCGTGTTACACAGGGTTCAAGTTTAAACAGCGTGAGCAGATCTCTCTCAATGTCAGCCATTGAAGGAGACAAATTACACCTCGGTAAGGAACCACAGCAATACAACAAGAACAAGACAGAGAGTGTCGTGCCAGCGTCGGGGGAAGTGGAGGAGGGCGGTTCAACGGCGCTCGACTCAGCCTATCTGGTCAAACAGTTTGGAAAACAAGGATCAGGTCGCACTGACTTCAACCTACCAAGCGGCGTCCATACAACCATCAAGGGGCAACTCTTTGTGGTGGATTGTGGAAACGCCCGCATTCAGGTGACCGATCTCCAGAAGAACGTCGTACAGCAAGTGACTCCTTCAGGATCAGAAAGGTCTTCCCGCATCTGCAACTACTTTGACGTGGCCGTGAACTCAAAAGGCCTCATCGCCCTGACCTGTGCGGCTGAACGAGCTGTGCTGGTCTTCAACCGTCATGGACGCCTCCTGCAAACGTTTGGAGGCACTTTGATTGGTGCTACCAACGAAGAGCTCGATGCTCCCAGAGGGGTGACAGTTACACGCCAAGATGAGTTCTTGGTCGCTGACCTAAAGCGTGGCACCCTTACTTCCCTAAAGCTGGACCCCAAAACAGGGGCCAGGATGGAGCGCACGGTGGTGACTGGGTACCACAGACCCTACCTGGTGGCAGCCTGTCTCACCACTGGGTTCATGGCAGTGTCGGAACGGGGAAATGAGACCGGACGCGTCCCATGCATCCGGGTCCTGGAGCCTGGCTGGAACACTGTTCGGATCCTAGGGGTGTGCTCTGGCTTGGGGCCTGTTCTCACCTTCCCTTGGGGTCTCTGTATTGACAGTGATGGGGATGTCCTGGTGGCAGACTGGGGAAAGCAGCACCACCGGGTTCTCATCTACCCATCCACAGGTGTTGGCTGGCCCCTGGTGAATGACAGCCTCAGCAGCCCGAGGGGCCTGGCGCTGCTCCCCGATGGTCACATGGTCGTGTCAGACAGCATGAATCACTGCATCAAGATCTACCACTACAAGTAAACCGCGGAGGATGACAAAGAAAGAGATAGAAACATGGATAGAGTTAGCACTATATTTCAGAACTTATTTATAATATCATGGGGAAATTATAATGTGAGTATTATTTACAGCCTCTACCTCCTACCTACTTTAATTTGACGTTTGATGAGAGTTAAATTGGGGACTATAATCACTATATTATTTAGAATTATGGATAATTATTACAAATTATTTACATCATACCTATCCATCAAAAATAAAAATGTAAGAAAGTAAAAATGCATGCATTACATTTCCCTTGAGTGTTTATAAAATGTTTTTATTCCAATGTATTAACAACCCATAATGCTCTGTTCCTGAACGATATACAATGACATTTTGTGAATTATACCCATAAGGCAAAACATTTTATCGATCAATAATCAAGACAAGTTAGAGAACTTTGAGTGTAATCAGCCAATCAAATAGTTAAGTTAGCTTTATGATGATTTGTATTGTCCATATCTCTGACTGGAAAACATTAAACTTTGGTTTAAATCTAATGTTGCATGTTCCTGTTGTCACTGGGGCTAATGTCCAACCCTTTAGCTTTTGGGTATTTCTCTGTGACCAGGATTTCCCCCAAAACACCTGTTTTTCCTGAAAAGTCTGAAATCAATAAAAAAAGGGAACAAGGCGCTGATCCAAAGAACAAATGCAGCAAATTAGTAATTGCCCAAATTTTGCAACAACGGAGATTCTGACACACAGTGTATGTAAACAAACCCCCCCCCCACACACACACACACACACACACACACACACACACACACACACACACACACACACACACACACACACACACACACACACACACACACACTGCAGTATAAAGTGCAGGTTCAGTTTCTGCTTCAGTCTGACTTCACATCAGAGGACCGCACAGCATGGAGCTGCTCACCAAAACTCTGTTTCTGTGCCTAGCACTCGCCCTTACTAATGGAGCACCTGCGTGAGTATTAATCAACTACTTAATCTTGAAATTAATTTACACTCATTAGCTCACGATGTGCTAGTTTTAATACTGATCTCAAGATCCTTTACTTCCAACATCATGTGCATTTCCAAGAGTTGTTCCAAGCCTTGAAAAGAGACCTCTGTGTGTTTATTTAGGCTACAAAGCAAACGGTATATATGTATATAAAAAATAATATCTTGTTATATCGTGCAAATCAATGCAGAAACCCAGTAAATGGGTCCTGCTTCAGAGGCAATGAGTTACATCTGTAACTAATGTGTAATTTGTGCTTTCCCAGTACAACCAATGCAGTGCAAAGTCACTGTTTATCCATTTCATAACTGTGTTTGTTCGTTCTCAAAGTCCACAGTTTGGATCAATTGATCAAATAAAGAAGTGCATAGTCAATCATGTCACTGATTGACCTTGTTTCAAAATGACTCAAGGATTTTTCTAAATGAAATGTTATGTGGTGGAAATTAAGGATCTATTTTATGATCCCCAGGCACCATGATGCAGCAGTAGACGGTAGGTTTAAATATACTGTATATATATATTTATTACAATGATAACCTGTCTCATATACACATTAACTGTATTTCCAATAATTTCAGTTGCTCTTATGGTAACAAGAGATATTATGTCCATGTTTAGATGCTTCTCTACCAGACCGCTGTGATGGGATTGGGTTTGATGCCATTACTCCTGACGAGAAAGGAACCACTTTCTTCTTCAGAGGTGCGGAACATTTCTGATAAAGAATAATGGAATTTCTATTCTAACTAGTCTAATTTTAAACTGATGATTTCCCTTCAGGTAGCCACTTGTGGGAAGGCTTTCATGGTCCAGCTCAGCTGTCCAATGAGTCCTTCCAGCAGCTTGATGACATCCATAACATCGGCCATGTTGATGCCGCCTTCCGCATGCACAACATAGAGCAGCTAGACCACCACGATCACATCTATTTCTTCCTGGTACGATCCACAGATACTATTACTTGTGATGTGGTTTGTCAAAAATATTCTTATTCAAAGCTATATTTCTACCTGTCCTTTTTCTGATCTTATCTATAGGATGACAAGGTTTTCAGCTATCATGACCAAGCTCTGGAAGAAGGGTATCCGAAAGAAATCCAGCAAGACTTCCCAGGAGTCCCCTCTCATCTGGACGCGGCTGTGGAGTGCCCCAAAGGAGAGTGCATGACAGACTCAGTTCTGTTCTTCAAGGGTGAGTTGGCATTCGTGGTAGAACTATTCATCTCGCTGAGTGGAAAGTATCACAGAACTGTGCTTCCCTCACTAATATAACGGCAATGCTGCTCCCTAGTGGAGGAAAGTAGCTGCACCGGAAATACATTTAGTCATAAAGCCAGACCTTCTTCCCCCAAACACAGGTCGTAAGGTCGTCTGTAAAAAAACAGCTTAAGATGACTTTTTACTTTTTTATAACGCTCCATAGTAAATATGGCAAATGAGGGAGTCGGGAGACACCTACATTTTTCCTACAGGGATAATTTAAAGTTTATTTTATCTTATAATATGAAGAGGCTATTGGCAAAGGACTATTTGTGTCCCGTGTATAACAACGTCCACGTATTTATATACACATACGTTTTAATTAGACCTTTGTTAACAATTGAGCACATTCAAACAAATAATTGCCCCCACAGGACAGGTTGTACATGTTTATGACATTGCAACAAAGACAGTGAAGACCAAGACGTGGTCCCACCTGCCCGTCTGCACCTCTGCTTTGCGCTGGCTAGAGCACTACTACTGTTTCCACGGAAACAACTTCACCAAGTTCCACCCGGTATCCGGAGAGGTGAGCGGTGTTTACCCAAAGGACGCCCGCAGTTACTTTATGAAGTGCCCCAACTACGGTGAGTTCATCCAGAAAAGAACAATGAAGTTTGATTCAAATTAGTTTTTTTGTAAGAAATAGAAACAGATGTATTTTTGGCTGAATGTATAATCTTCTGTTCAGGTCATGGCGGTGACTACAAAGTCCTGAAATGCAGTGATGTGAAAATAGATGCCATCACCACTGATGATGCAGGCAAAAGTTACTTCTTCGCAGGTAAAGTAACAAAAATAATAACAAAATAAGAGGTCTTTAAATTAATATTCCAACATTGAGCTATTTTCCTTTGATAATTTGTCAAGAACTTGCTGTGAAGACTGTATTTCAAACCCCCGTTAGGCCCCATCTACATGCGTCTGGACACCAGGCGTGACGGCCTCCACGCCTTCCCAATCACCAAGTCGTGGAAGGAGGTGACCAACGGGGTGGATGCTGTCTTTTCCTACGCTGACAAAATGTACTTGATTAAGGTAGGTCTTAAAGTAACGACGAAAAGCCAATTTATTTGTGTATGAGTTGAAATGAATACACCCTGTTCTCCCAAACGCACGCAGGATGATCAGGTTTACATCTACAAAGCAGCTGCTCACTACACCCTGATTGAAGGATACCCTAAAACCCTGAAGGAGGAGCTCGGCATTGAAGGACACGTGGACGCTGCTTTCGTCTGTCCTGAAGATCACACAGTTCATATTATCATAGGTAAGGTTACTACGGGCTTATCCAATTCATTTATGGGTTAAAAGTTTTCTGCTCGACTGCTAAAATATTTCTTCAACAGGAAGGACGATTCGTGCGATCGACCTATCTGCCACGCCCAGGGCCGTGACCCAGGAGAGGCCCCTGCCTTTCTCCGACATCGACGCTGCTTTGTGCAGTGCAGAAGGAATTAATGTGTTCAAAGGTGCAACGTATTACAACTACGAAAGCCCCATGACACTGGCTATGAGCAGAATCGCCCCTGAGCCTCTAAATGTTACCAGAGCAATGATGGGGTGTGAGGAATAGGATGAAAGAACACTCAAACCTTTTATTCCCCTACTACGCACGCAAGAAAATAAATGGCATCTATCCATAAGAATCTAAATCACTTGGTAAACAGGTTCAAACGTGAGTTTTTGGAAAAGTGTCCCCCCCATGATGAATAAAATGTTGAAACTACATACTGGAGTGTCCTTTCAGTGGTTGGTGTGCCACTATTTATGGTGTCTTTATCATAGAAAATAACATGTATTATTGGTTTGATGTTTTCAAGTTGCATATGTGAAAATTAGAACTATAAAATCTATGATGAGGAATAACATCCAAAGGCAAAGTTTAAAGTAATGATGGAGTTTGGCCACAAGAGGCCCTACTGTACAAATGAATGAGTTACAGCAGAAGTAACAGCGGATCAGATCCAAACTGAGCTGATACTGTATGAACAGGTTAAGGAGAAAGGTCCTTTTGCACATTTTCCAATTGGGATTTTTAACTAAATACTCTGAACTGCCTTAAAATATGTAAATACTCTGCAATAGTGTGAAGTTCCGCCAATATACGTACAATATACTGCAAAAACAACTCCACATTTAGCTTCAATGTTTGGCAGCTTCATACAAATGGAAGGGAGTTGCTGCTCCACTTGGTGTTGCCAGCAACAATTTGCAGCTGTGCTGAAGATCTGCAGGCCGGGACTCTATTCGGAGAAATGCTTGTTTTTTTTGCAAAAATAAGGCCGGATCATAACAATAAGCCTGACAGAGGCATTTCTACTTCAGATATTAAAGGTTTGAAGCAGTGCTGCGTAAAACACACAGATTTGCTCCAAATATTTGGTTAATTTCTTGATTTTTTTCACCGATAGAATAGTCAATATATTATAAATGTTTGCATTTTTTTTTTTTTAAATATGGTATTATGAGGTACATCGTTTTATTTTCGAGAGCTTTTAATGGCTATCATCTGCTTGTATTTGTGTTGGGTGTTTATATTATGTCTAAAAGAAAAATAACTTTTCAAATTAAGTTCCTGTCCGTTTTTTCAATATATTCCCCGTAACAACAAAGTGAGCTTTCAATTTCCACTAAAGTCAAAACGTTTATGACCAAAAACAGTTCTAGTCTAGTTATCACAATATACAGTATTTCAGTGTTGTCCATGCCCATATCAGGTCGTACGGTCACGTAGGCAGCAGCCACCAAGAGTCCAGAGCTGGGGAGGCATTAGCAGCCATTCAAGGCCCTTTCACTCCCTGGAGAGGGTTTTGTTCAGACAAAATCCCTGGGACTTTCAGCTCGCATAAAGGAAGTGCTGGCCTCAGCACGGCTTAATGGGCGAGGCCATGAGGACACACACACACACACACACACACACACACACACACACACACACATACTTGCACGTGCACATAGAAACACCACCGCGGATACACATACAGTATGCACAGCAGACAGTACGGACTGCCGTTGCTCACACACAGCTGCCAGCTATCCAGTAATACTAATAACGGAAGCTTGGATATTAAACATTTATTTTATTTTGTTCAATTTCAATTTGTATTTCTGATCAATACATTTAATTCCAATGTTTGTTTTAGATTTTTTTTTTTTTCATTACAGGAAAGACCACCAGGTCACCATGATGATTGGTTCTCTGGGGACCATGAGCATCCAGCTAGAAGTATCTTTATTCCATGTGGAACTTGAATAAACCACACTGGTATCCCCAGTGCTAATCAATAGGCCATACTGAATTTCACCCCGCACCAATAAAGCCTTCAGAGAAATTGTTCTTGAAAATAATATTCCGAGTATAAAATCCAGAAAGATGGCGCACACGGACATCGAGGAGGACGGTGTTTGAGTCCCGTGTAAAACAAAAAACTTTACTTATTTTGTTGACTACTTAACCTCCGTGCATTACTGAATATACCTAAAAAATGTAGTTATTATAATCATGACATTTTCCTTAAACACAACCTAGTAGTTTTGTTGTCTAAACATGTCATAGTTTAGTTTAACCACGTGTTTAAAACTTTGACCGCGTGCCCGTATGTGACATTTACACGTACGCTAAACCATGATCTTTTCATTCACCAAAACGAGTACTTGTGTTGCCAAAAAAGAACCAAGGAGTTTTGTTTGTATTCACAACGTCAACTACTCGTTTAAATCTACGAATGCTCGTACATTCGTGACATATTGTGAATGAGGTCTGTGCGTTATATCCACAAAAACACTAAATGCAAAACAACCTTAAAAGGCATTTCAATGAGATGACGTTGAATAAACTCACAAACATCACCGGGGTAAGGCACAATCTTGTATTTTTGCACAGCACAATAATAACAGAGGGTAACTTAACACTCATTGAACACAGAAGAAAAGAGATCCAGGAAGAAAGTGCAAACCATGACAGACATAGGTATGGTACAAAAAGTTTATTCAGTAACAGTTCTGTAAACATCTGAGGTAAATGAACATTTACATCAACATGTTCTTTAACAAAAGGTTCAGACGCAAGGCACTTCTCTTCAAAGACAGTTGTTTGACAACGGGAGAAATAGCAGGGTGGTTCTTCATTTCTAACTCGTGCGATTCTGTGTCCCTGCTTGAAGGGGCGCCGTGAAAATCCCTCCACATAACCTCTGTTTTTCTTCACGGGACCTTTCATTCAAGGCTCATCCACATCCAGGAAAAGTTGGAACGGCCAAAAGTATCTCAATCAGTATTGAGGACAGAAAAGAACAATCGCTTTAGGTTCTCTTTTTGTCCACTCCAAGTCTAATTTCATATTGTTATTCCCATAAATAAACAAAAATATGTTGATATCCCTTTTCCAAGGACACCCTTTCTTTTTTCCATTTAAACTATCTTCATATCCTCATTACAGTGGTCTATTACTATTTAACTGAGCAAATCTTTATCACCATATTGTCAGTACTAAGAACAGCGAGGAACAACAACACATTCCACTGATTGTAATAAGTCCAATGACCTTTGTCGTCTTTTAGAGACAAAGGTCAACCATTTTTCCCAGAATAATAAAAGGGGTTTTCAAATGTCTGTGTTAGGGTTCGGGTTGAGGCTACCAAGCAAAGCTCTTTACAGGTTCCATCCTGTATTGAGAAATCTTTGGCACAAATATCTTTGGTTAGATTTGACACATCACAGCTAACGTGCTTCAGCTGCCAGATTCAGCTGGAGTTGTTTTTTGGCACCCACGATTTGTAGAGAGACATGTAAACATTCAACAGAGTCAGCGAAAAGCAAATATATATGTATATTATATATATGTTTGGTTCATGCTGAAATCCTGCCTGAAGTGATCAGAAGTTACAGGGCAGACATTTAGTCTGGAGAGCACTAACAATGTTTGATAAGCACAATGTCCTCGGAAAACACTTCAACATGTTGAAGGCTGGACCTCGTCAATTGCTTACCAAATGCAAAAAGAGTATTAACTAAAGTTTGCCAGCGACTGATAATAAAACTGCTTCCAAATACAATACAACGAGCGTATTGGCTTAGTTAGAGTTAGATAGGAAGTCAGTCACCACTCTCATTCCATTCACTATCAGGCTGCATTCAGGAGACTTTGATAAGCTTCAAGACTGGAAAAAAATCCACCAAACTATTTCTATAAAAAAATCATAATCTTTGATAATGTGCAAAAGTTAATAATTTGTGATGAACATACATACATTAACATAAGCAATGTATAAGTTACCATTAATTCTAACTTCATCCAAAAGCGTTCATAAGCTGTTGAGCTAATAGATGTTCCAAGATGCCATGGGTGTTATTATTTATACGATATGTGGCCATTTGAGAGTCCACCCTCAGATCTGACTTATCGAACACCACGGTGTTCTTTCAGGATAACGCCATGGGTTATTGAGCTGACAGTAAAACATGGAAACAGACCTGGACAAAACAACAACAACAATGAAGACCGTGAGATGTGGTTGAAGCTTCAGAGAAAGTGAGTAAGGGGACCTTGAGTTAAGATTATTTTTTTAAACTACAAAAACAACATTTTGTTTATTTCAAAATGTCAACGTATTCTAATCAGACTTATATTGGGCTGTTTTGGTTATGTGTTTAAATGCTATAGCTAGCACTTTTGTATTATTCTAGTATTATTCCAATTATATGAAACCTATATATCGAAGAGAAACACAAAGATATACAAACCCAGAATGATGTTCGCCCCAAACCTAAATCCTTTGTCCTCTTGCTAATAGGGAGCCTTTTCATTCCCGAATGAAAACATTCAGAGTAAGATTTGATCAATTAAAGCTGTTGGGAAGTACATTTAAATCAGCTATTTTCAGTTTGGTTTATGTTGTTTTCTTCAGGCAGGAATTAATAAGAAGAACAGGAAAAATGAACATTCCTATGTGGGATATCTTTTAAGAACTGACAGAGAAATAAAAGTTTTTTAGATCATATCGCTTTCTTTTTTTCCAAAAAATCTAAAAGCTACAGTATAATCTAAGTCTAGAAAAATAACCTAGAGTCCTCCTACAGATCAGCTAGGGGCACTCGACAGTTCTGTAACACACTGCAAACACAAGCATCCCAAAGAAGGGGAAGTGATTTGTTCAAGCTGCAGAGCTTCAAATCGCTGTAGACATAGTTAAGGCGCTCCATCGTGTAATATAAAAAAAAGACCTCAAGTCTTCTAACATTGGATTTTTGCATAAAGTGACCTGTGGGGCCAATGTCAGAAAACGCTAAAGCACTTTTGATCTTCTAGGTAAAAGTCGCTATAAATTGCAGCTTGAGCAGAAACTACCTTTTTCAAATGTAGCTAGTTTCTCTAAAACATCTTTGGTGCCTATCAATACTTTGAATATATTTACATATGTATATAGTTTATCCTGATGAAACTGCAGAGATGTAATCTTTGAAAACACTGAAACATAATTAAAGGTACACACACACACACACACACACACACACACACACACACACACACACACACACACACACACACACACACACACACACACACACACACACACACACACACACAGCCTGTGAACCTAAGGACTCTGTCTCAGGGTGGGACCTCGGTGAGTCCCTCTCTTCATTGAAACTCCAGGCTGTGTGAGCGCGGCACACTCGTACGGACACGACGCACGGACTGTTCGGCTCCATCATCACGTCACGGTAAGAAATGAAAATAAAGAAACCTCTCCTCCGATGTCTCACAGAAAATAAAAAAAAGATAAATGAAAATAAAGGAATATAGTAACGCTGCCTCCACGCCCCCAATGTATAAGTTAGTCCAACCAGAATCATCATCATTGTCGTCATCATCATCGTCATCATCATCACTATAACCTCTTCTTACTTGTGTCTGTGCTGACTATATATATATATATATATATATAGTATATTATATTATATATATATATTGCTGTGTGTGAAAGTGAGTTTGCTAAGGAAATGCTGATGGTATGTTTCAAGGATTAATACAAATAAATATGCTTATTCAGGAAGAAGATCGATACTACTAGCTAGCGCTTTTATTTTGGCTACTTTTTTGTAAGTTCTCTTTTTAGTTTGGAATTGCCTTCCTTGCCTGCAGTTATTGATTGGGCTTGTTTATTGAACATCTATTTTAATTGCACGTATCAACTATGATGTTTGCCTGGTCAGGCCAAACTATTTCTATCTCTACTTCTACCTTATAATTCTGAGATTAAAGAGAGCAGCCCCCTCCAAATGAATAGTGTTTTCTTCATGCTGGCATGTCGGTAGCTGGAGGGCATGCTTTCTATGTGTTTTCTACATGTACACATCATGTCTGCATGGTTGTGTAAATGTGTGTAAATGTGTGTGTGTGTGTGTGTGTGTGTGTGTGTGTGTGTGTGTGTGTGTGTGTGTGTGTGTGTGTGTGTGTGTGTGTGTGTGTGTGTGTGTGTGTTAGCTACACTGCCAAGTCGTCGGGACGAGCTCGGATGCCGCCGCTCCTGAAGGCCCGACTCGGCTTCCGGATGTTCGGCGCGGGAGAAGCAGGAGGCGGGTGCATCTCCACCCTGGTTACCACGGTGAAGTCGTCATGTAGGCCCATTCGAGGCGATGTAGTTTCTTCATCCACCACCTCCTCCGGTGCAAGGGGGGAGAGAGGGGTGTGACGAGGAAGTGTAGGAAACTCAGAGTGTTCCTCCCCATCTGGGAGGGGTGGGGTGCTCTCCCCGTGAGGAGAGGAGGAGGAGGTGGTGGGAGAAGAGGGCAGAGGAGGGGGGCAGGAGGAGGAGTTTTGTCCTTCCTGATTGTGGAGCTCCAGCGCCATGTTGCTCCAGTTCTGATCCATCTCCTTCAGCTGACTGCGGTCCCCGACACTCCCCCTCTCGCCGTAAAAGGAAGTGGGCAGGGCCTCCAACAGGAAGTCGTCTGGGTGGAACTCGTCCATCTTTAGTGCTGCGGGCACAGACATCACTGCAGGGGAGGCTTCAGCTGGACAGTAGGCTCCGCCCTCCGCTGCTCCACCCCCTATCACGTTCATGCAGGAGTACGGGATGGACTCACTGCTGACCCCCTGCTTGACCTTCTTCCAGCCCAGGTGGTATATCTCCAACAGGTTGAGGAGCAGAGACACGCAGGCAACCACCAGCATGAAGATGATGAAGATTGTCTTTTCAGTGGGCCTGCGAAAACAGACAGACAAGATCAGATTTCATTCACAAATGTATAAAAAGAAAAACTTTTTTTTTTCACATGACATGAAAAATGACTAGCTCAATTCTCATGGATTATGTGGAAGTGTGTAGGAGAGGCCGAGCAAGAACTTAGGCTGATAACTGGGATATGTTGGTCCCATGGAATTGGCCTGGTCTGCGCTCTCCAAGTAATTTAGTTTTTAATGTTTATTTCCGAAAGAATCGTATTTGTGTTACAAGGTATTCCACCAGGAATATAGGCTTGTGTACAAAGTCATATGATTTCCGTGGAGTACAAAATGTGGTGTTGCATTACATTGAACACTCAAACATAAACTCCTATTGTCTAACCTGGAGATGAAGCAGTCCACCGTATTGGGGCAGGGCCAGCGGCCACATTTATAGAGCGGCCTCAGGTGGAAGCCATAGAGGAAGTACTGTCCCAGGATGAAGCCCACCTCAAACAGAGTCTTGAAGATGATGTTGAAGATGTAGGTCCTCAGTAACGCCCCGCGGATACGGATCTTTCCGTGCTCGTCACGAATAGGCGGCTTCTCCTTCTTCCCACCACCACCTCCTCCTCCGTTACCGACTCCATTGTGAAAGAGCGGGTCGTTGTCCTCCTGGTGCCGCCCGGCCTTTCTGAGCTCCTCCTCCCTCTCCCTCCTCTTCTCCTCCATGCGGACTATGTGCAGCACATGGCCCAGGTATATGAGCGTGGGCGTGGAGACAAAGATGATCTGCAGCACCCAGAAGCGGATGTGGGAGATGGGGAAGGCCTCGTCGTAGCAGACGTTCTCGCAACCGGGCTGCTGCGTGTTACAAGTAAAGTCCGACTGCTCGTCGCCCCAAACCTCTTCGGCTGCTGCGCCCAGAACCAAGATGCGGAAGATGAAGAGGACGGTAAGCCAAACCTGGGGAGGAAGGATGGAGGGATTAAAAAACACCGCAGTTAATGTGATCGTTTCATATTTATCTAGTTCATCAAAAGTCAATCAGACACCTTTCCAATCACAGTGGAGTGTTCTTGAGCATTCTCCAGCAGCCGCCCCAGAAAGCTCCAGTCCCCCATGCTTCACTCGATCTCTAGCCTGGATGGGAAACAAGAGTTTGAACTTTTAGTGTTAAGACAAAAGGCAGTCATTTGAAACAACTGGGCAGTTTTGAGCAAATATCTCTCAAACAAACATAAATATTGCATTTGTTCATTATTATTTTCAGCTGTGGAATATACAATTTGGTTGCTGGAAACCCAATCACGGCACCATATTGGGATTCCTCAGGGGAAGGCAGACTTACTAAAATATTGTTTTATTGTCAGTGATAAATCCATCGACCAGATATCAGAAGAAAAACTATCTTGATCTGGAAAGGAGAGAAAGAACATGCTCTGGTCAACATTATATGTCATTTTCAAACATGGATAAAATGTCACACACATAGAATAAATATCAACAATTATTTTCATCTGTATGGAGTCACTTATTGTAGGATACAACCAAACTGTATGTTTACTGTTCATGTTTAGTGACTGTCTGACTGCTTCAAGAATCATCTCTATAAACAGATGCCTACATATGAATTGAGAGTTGAATTGAATGTTGGTTTCTGAAAGGTTCTGGTTCATCAGGTTTGAGCAAGCATTGGTTGCAACAGTCTGTGTTTGGAGCAGAAGAGGCGTAACACATTGGCTTAACATGCAACCTCAGGACTCATCGGCTATGGCCTGACAATGAGCTAGCTGAAACTATCTTTGAAACGTGTGAAACATAGAAGTCATCTCTAAACTCTCTGGTTGCTTATCAGACAGTAAAGAACGACCAATATATCTTCTGGCTACACCACAAACATCAAAATGCAGCAGGACCTAAAGTTTATACGGGCACTAATGCAAATAATATAGGGAGCCTTGGTTCAACTGTATGTCATCCTATGTGTGTGTATTTATGCATGTAAGGGAACTTGGTTTGTGCACGCCTTTCTTACTTTATCCAAATGTTAAATTGCTTACAGATGTGCATCTATTTGTGTATGTGTGTGTCGCAGAGCAGGCTGGCTAGTGGACAATGGCCGGCCATCTGTGGGAAGTGAATGAGTGGATAACAGGTTGTCCCGGATGAATGCTGGACTCATCACAGCCCAGGAATGCTGAGGAGGGCAAATGTTTGCCTGGGATTGACGGATATATACACACGTGCAAACACACACACTCAAATGTACAGTACCACACCTATCTGAAGCTATTTGTAACCTATATAACATATCATATTTAAGGTAATCCCAAGACTTCTCTCTTATTTACACTCACAATAAGTAGATCAGAGGTCGGAAAAAGCAACAAAAGGAAATCAAATAGTCAAATGAAGTTGCGTTCTGTAATATTGCCCCTTTAATACAATAAAAGTATTTGATATATCTCTGCTTAAGTCCAGAAAAAGTCTGACTTTACCACACCCTAAAGCTGCTCAATGCTCAGTCTATGAGTGGACTGATGTAAACGCCAATCTAACAGTGGCATTTGAACATGTACATGATGTGTTGACCTGATGAAATACCATCTGTCAAGACAGACAATAGAGAAGCTGCCAGATGGACATTGTCCTGGCTGCCGTGTGCTTTTGATGGATCAGAGGTCTTTGTGCTAAAACAGCCCAAACAGTTAACTCTTGGCTTGCCGCTTGCACCCCGAAAACCTTTTTAAGATATGAGGACAGAGGCAATGCTCACATGAAACACTATTACGTTGTAATCATATAGCCTGATGTTGGTTAGATGCACATCCATAAACATTATAAATTAGGTGTTTTAACTTATGTAGCTGGTTTACACAAGGAAATGATGCAAGAGCTTGATAATGACTAAGGGTCAACAAGTGCTGAGGAATTAACAGAAAGAACACGTGTAAAAGTGCATTTAGTGTATAAAAAAGTACAATATTTGATAACAATTCATTAAGCTGTATAAGGTGCGTAGAGGTGACGTAAGAAAAATAAATAAGCTTAAAGGAGCGTAAATGTGTTTAAAATGTGTGCAATATCACAAATAAATAGAGATGCTTAATGCGTGTAAAAGTACAATACAGTTTAAAGAAGCACATCAACAGCTCTTTAAATGATAACGATCTACGAGGAGCAAGAGTCAATCAGGGTGTCCAAATGTGAGGTTTTTATCCCAGAGAAAGTAACATCAACTGAGAAAACAGCAGGGTGCTTAAGAGCTGCAATGCGTTATGATGGACATTATTTGCAAGAAGAATCATAAATCACCCTTTAGGAACACTGGTTTTGAGTAATTACATAGAAAATATCAAGATTACATATTTTGTACTACACCAATTCTTGGTTAACAACTTTGATGGTCTAGCTTGGTCCAAAATGACCAAACAAGATGAACACTTAAACTCAAAGGCTAATTGACAGTGTCTAACACATCCTAATTTAATATCCAGGACCCAGTTTGGTGTGCTACTAATAATTGGGATTATCATCGAAAACACAAAATCTCAATACTTAAAAGATGTCCGAGTTTCTATGTAAAAAAATGATTCTCGGAAATATTAGTGGCTTCCTGTCTGCCGTCTTTCCCACAGGGAAGTGACCGCAGCATGAGAGGTGCTCCTAATCCAGCAGGTGGAAGGGTGATAATCCCTCCTCTTCCCTCCCACTCCCCAACACCATCACTGCAGCGGCCTCCACCTGCTTACCGCTCTCCTCTGAAACACGGATCCTCCCGCAGCGCCTTCCCTCTTCTTCTTCTTTTTCTTCTTCTTCTTCTTCTTCTGTTTTTACTCCCACCCGCGGGCTAAACGAGGAGTAGGTGAGATTAGAGAGAGAGAGAGAAAGAGAGAGAGACAGAGAGAGAGAGCGAGTTACAGAGGGAGAGAGGGAGGGTGAGAGAGGGAGTAAAAAAAGACGCGAGGCCAGTCTAGCGAAGGCGAAGCGGAGCGGCTGCGTCCCGCGTGGCCAGGGCCATCCGCTACTGTCACACATTGGTGTCCCCGTGCATGGGGCGCACGAGGGGGGTGATGGGGGAGGTGCGTGCTTTTTTGCGTGCGCGTGTGTATGGGAAAGAAGACGCACTCCATCACAACCCTGGCAAGCCTCATATAAAACTACAGCGTTTAAAACTAATTATATGAATGCAGTGTAGGAAAACTTTAGGTGGAAGTACTAAAGTGCAAAGATACTCTATTATGAGTAAAAGTGAAGAATAAAAAAGAACATCAAAATGTACATAAAGTGCCAAAAGTAAAAGTGATAATTATGTGTGCTCTATAATGCAGCATATTAGTTACTTACCCTCACTGCACTGAAGTAGTTGCAGTAGTAAGAATATCTGAATTATCCCATACTCTTATCTGACCAAGATTGAGATTGAAATATGCAACAATGAGAGTAATGAGTAAAAATTATTCGGAAAAAAATAATATATACATACGCATAGCAGTTAGCACGTAACAAAGTCATCATTGTGCATCTGTATAAACCGGTAAGGTTTTTGTAGTCTCACCATGGTTAGTTAGGAGGTGACGTCAGTTCCTGTTGTGTGTCAGTGACGCTCAGGTGGTGCAGTCACCGTGGGCCACCAGCAGAGGTCAACACAGGTCAAAACAGTAGACCACTCCATGCATCTGATATAAATGAGAATACAGTACAGGTTGTGTCCTGTTACATTGTTTTTTTTTAAATTGATGAGTCACATGGTTAAATGCATGTTAATGGTTTTGACTGCATTTGTCTATATTCTGTGTGATTTGTTTGAAACTGTACCACTAAATAATTTGCAACAAAGTCAATCCATAGGTAGTCAGTTTCCCAGACAGGAGCATCCTTATTATCATGCAGTGATTTAATCAAACAGTTAGACTGACACATAGTTAAGATAAGATGAAACTTTATTTGTGCTACAAAAGTAGGAAACCGCAAGTGCATTCAGTGAATTAAAGTTTTAACATACAATCTTGTCAATATAATGTAAAAAATACAGTTTCCATTCTCTCCACCCCTTGAACTAAGTATCATAGAAAATGTTCACTTTTTGAGTTGCATTTAAAAATGTTCTTGACCATTCATATGACTTGTAATCATTCAGCTTGAAAGTCTTTGGAATTCTTTCTTCTTCATGTATTGTCCACCTTGTTGCTGCTTCTTCAGACTGAGACTAGTTTCTGAGTTGTCTTATTATGCATCTTCTCTCTGCTGGATCTTCTTTTTCTCTCCTTCTGACCACAGAGACTCCTGAAAAAGAAGACGTTTTCAAGCATTTAAAGACTCCCTTTGATGACCAAGAGAAAGGATGCAGGACTTCATTTCATTTCATCGTTTATTTGAATAGGGACAATGCACATTAATGAACACTTTAGACAAATAATGCTTCAAGTGTAAATATGCCGGATTTTAGCTTTGAGCTCATTCCCATCCGTAGTCCCTGACATTAAACATATAATAACATGACATTTGTAAACAACAAATAAATTCATGATATGCAAAAGAGCAAGAGCAGCACTTCAGACTTTAATGAATCACCTGACTGATTAATGCCTCTACCTAGTGACAGCCTTGGCAACAAGATATGACAGTTCAGCCATGTTGAGGACCATGCAGATAGAGGAAATGGTGGCCATGAAAACGGTGAAGATGGTTTTCTCCGTGGGGCGTGAGATGAAGCAGTCCACCAGGTTAGGACACGGCCATTGGTCACACTGAACCAGTCGAGGCATATGGAAACCATCATACACTACGTATAGAGCATACCTGGAGAGACAAAGATGCAAACTGGTGCGATTATACCAAAACCAGTAATATGGCACACAGAAAATTGCAGAGCATACATGAAGCCTCCTTCAAACAGCAGCCTGAACAACAGGCTGAAGGCGTACGTCCACCAGAGGGCGCCAGCTATTGGGAGTCTCCGTCTCTTTAGAGTGTTCAAATCTTCCTCTTGGCATTTGTTGCTGAGGAAACTAGATCTACCTGAACCCTGTAACACAAGATGTAACATAACGTGATGAAAAGATACAACTAAGACCCAACTACCTAATACATGACCAAATAAAGCATGCCATGACAAGAACACAGTATAACATGGGTAGAGGAAGCATAACATGACAAAATAAAGCAGGAAATGGCAAACAAAAGTTAAAAGATTATACGATAAAGCACATGACAAGATAAGAAGAAAAGAAAAAACTTGCTTTCATTAAGCATGAAAATTCAAAAGGAACAAGATAAGACAAGATGACCCATGTCAGGACAGATGAGACATGGGCTGAACAGGATGGTTGTCTCCTGCAATAACAGCAGACAAATCCAACAGTACACACACCTCTAGGAGCCTCTTCCTATCGCTTTGGTTCCG